TGTGGCTCAGGGTTTGTTTTTTATAATATTATTGGTATTTTCACTCTGTGCTTTATTTTGGGTAGTTTTTATTGTCCCATCTCTGGGTTTACTATTGTTTTCTATTGTGTCCAGTTAACCATTAAGTACCTCCAATGAGTTAATCATTCCAGATATTATACTCACCAGTTTTACTACAATTTCTACTTGCTGTCTTTTTAGAGTTTTTATTACTCTACTGAAATTCTCCATCTTTTCACCGTTTTGTACATTTTCCCTTAAACTTTTTAGCATATTTGTAATAGTTATTTTTAAGTCCTCATCTGTTAATTCCAACCATTTATTTATGTGTTATTCTCTTTTTATTCTTATAGGTCACATTTTTCCTGCTTTTTTGATTGTCTTAATTTTTCATTGTGTTTAGAAGAATACAGAAGCTGAAGTCAATAATATTTATCCTCAGAAAGCCTTACCCTTTCTTCTGTCAGGCAGCTAAGGGGACTAGGCCAGATATCTGTTCTAATCAGGAGTTGGATCTCACGTTTGATTTCCTCTTGGTGGTGAGATCCGGCCCAGCAGCAGTTTATGCATGGGATCATTGCATGTGAGTTTGCAAGATGTCTCCCTGCGTCCCACCCGGGTGCTAGCTTCTTTCACACCAGTGCTTGCTAAGCAAAAATATCATAGAGGAGAGTCCGCTGGCAGTGAGGGTGAGCTGTTTCTCCATTTGCCAACCTGCTACACCAGCCAGCGACTGGCTGATAAAAGTTTGGCTCATTTCTCCTTATCCCAGCAAAGTATCTTTACCAAGAGTAGACTAGCTATTCTGACTGTTCATTGCCCCTGTGGTGAAAGCCTTTCACTGAACCTCGAAGGGCTCATCTCTCTGGAATTTCATTCATTTAGACTTGTGTCCAGATCGCTTCAATATCTTTTATGACAGATAAGATTTTTAAATTTATTGTTTTCTCAGTGTTACAGTGGAACTGATTTTTTTTTCTTTTCATTATATTGTGTGTGTGTGTGTGTGTGTGTGTGTGTGTGTGTGTGTGTGTCCTTTTGCATCCTATCCAAAAGTGGAGCCTCCTATTGCTAATTTAAAACTTTGGTTTCATCTTTAATGGCCTGTTTTTAAGTTTCTCATTCCCTCCCACCACCACTACCACCCTGCCCTTTGGCAACCATCAGCTTATTCTCTATATCTGTGTGTCTGTTTCTGTTTTGTTTTGCTTTTTTTTTTTTTTTAGATTCCACATATAACTGAAATCATATGGTATTTGTCTTTCTCTGTCTGACTTGTTTTGAAACTGGAAACTCCTTTCAATAATTTAATTTTTTGGTTTCATCTTTAGTGACCTTAAATCCCATTTTTAAAACAAAAAAAAATTTAAGCTGTTTGTTTTTCATTTAATACCAGGTCCTTCTAGGTTAATTTGGAATAAAGCTCCACCTAAATAATTAGAAGTAAAACCTGGCGAAGGATCTGTTTTTCTCGCTCACTTTTTCATTAATTCAGGCATTTATTCAATCAGCAAACACTGATGTAACCTAGCAGCACAGTACAGAGTGCGTGCTCTGCTTTGTGCGGGGCACACACAGATGAATAACACAATTGCGATCACAAGTTAGTGGCTTATGTACAATTTTAAGTGTACTCACAACTGTCTTCCCTTAGCAGCCACAGAGATACCCTGGAATAGACTATGGGCCTTTTGTATTGTGACATTTTATAATTTACTTAGTTGCCTTTGTGTAATAAACTTAAAAACTTCTGATGGGGCAGTTAGGATTTGGTTGCTGAAAAAAGAATATGTTTGCAAAATACTTGGTAATGTGTAGATCACAGAGAGCTAGTTCCTCATTATTCACTTATTATTGGTACCTGTTAATTATGTTCTTGGTTAGTTTCCTGTTGCTGATGTAACATATTACTACAAACCTAGCAGCTTAAAATAACACATCTTTATTATTTTACAGTTGTGGAAGTCAGAAATTCAGAATCAGTGCTACTGGGCTAAAGGCAAGGTGTCGGCAGGGCTGGTCCCTCTGGAGACGCTGAAGGAGAGTCCGTCCCCTTGCCCCTACCAGCTTCTAGGGCTGTCCTCAGTCCTCGCTCATGGGTCTGTGTTGCCTTTTTGCCTCTCCTTTCCTCTGTGGCCATATCACCTTNTTGTTGCTCTTTTTTTATCTACTTTTAGGGGCTCTGTTTTTTTGTTCTTGCTTTAGAAAAAAGTTTTGGGTAAAAATTAGATTGTTGCTCTTTTTCTTACCTACTTTAGGGGCTCTGTTATTTTTGCTCTTGCTTTACAAATAGTTTTGCAGGATGAGAAAGCAAATGAGGGTAATTGATGAAAGGAGCAAAAGCTAAGCTACTAAAAAAAATTGCTAGATGTTAAATAAAAATCACATTCCCTAAATCTTCTGCTCATTCAGTTATGGATATTGAGCTCTAGCTGTTTGCTTTTATCTAAAAATTTTATTAAGATCTTAAAGGTTTAATAATTGAGGGAATAGCCTACCTCACAAAGCAATGTTAACATTCCCACCTATCTTTATTATTTTTTATTTGAAAAGACATTTATAGAAAAATGTTTTAAAGTTGTTTTAAAACTATTACCATTATAATCCTTGAACATCACATTTTGTTTTCAGTTTTTTTACATTACAATCCTCATTTGTAGCTGTATTACATAGTAGTATCATAGTACATATTCATTTTCTTTTAGATAGTTTTCATAACTTCTTGTAGTTTGTCATTTAATAAATATTCATATAACTATGATTTTTAATAACTACATTAAAATGTACTATAATTTTTAAGGCATTCCTTAATTTGGGGCACTTAGGTTGTTTCCATGTTTTTGCTCTTATAAGTAATATTGCTCTGAGCATCTTCCTTCATTTATCTTTTTTATTCTGTTGAATTATTTCCTTAGGATAAATTCCTGACTGGCATCAATAGGATAAAGAGTATGAGCATTTTTATAGATCATTATATGTATTACCATGTTATTTTTCCAAATTGTTATAAAAATACATAGAGTAACCAATAATGAATGAGGGTACTGGAACCAGGGCTCGGCATTGTCATTTAGAGAAAAAAATTATTTTAGTGGATAAAAAACCAGTATATCATGGTTATGTTAATTTTAATGTCTTTAATTAGCCACCAGATTTTTTTAAAGGTTTTCATTCATCAATATAAATTACTGTCAAGTATTTTGCCTTGCTCTTCAGCTGCTGTCTTAGGCAGCTGATCACTTGGTCAGGAGATGCACACACATTGTCATGACCCCGTTGTTGGTATGGTGACATGGGTCTCTTCCCGCCTCGTGTGTCCCTTCCCTCCTCCTCATCTGCATGTTCCTTCTTACTCTGGGATGCAGGTGTGCTCTGCACTTAGCCAGACACATTTCTTTCAGGCACCTTCCCTCCTACAACTGAGCCATTCTCTCCCGCTGCACCTTTCTTTTTGTGATCTATTAATGTTTTTATTATTTATCTTTTAATGAAATCATTCGATGAGGCTCACACTTCTCCATAGCTTCTACTATCACACGTTTGTCCTTGTTATTCGTAAGTGATACATGGCTAAGGTGGCAGTACCTGGCCAGAAACTGGTCCTCGCTGCAGTGTTTTATCTGCCTCAGCCCTGCACCATGTTTCCAGAGTCAGCGCCTAAGCCTTGCTCTGCTGTGTCTCCACGCTGCACTACTGAAGAGTTCCCTTCAGTCTGGAATGTCCTTTCCCTTTCTCCACATTTTGGATCCGTATAGTTTTCTTTTGCTGGGTAACAAGTTGATCTTATACTCAATGGCTTAAAACATCACAAATTTAGTATGTCACAGTTCCCTTGCATCAGGAGTCCGGGTACAGATCAACTGGGTCCCTGGCTCAGGGTCTCAACAGGTGGAAACAAAGGTGTCAGGAGGGCTAAGTTCTCATCTAGAGCTCAGGGTCCTCTTCTGAGCTTCAGGCTATTAAGAGAATTCATTTCCTTCTGATTGTGGGAGTGAGGTTCCCATTTTCTTGTTGACTGCGGGGGTCTTGCTCATCCCCTTGCGGCCTCCCTCATGTCCTAGCCACGTCAGCGCACTTATAGTGAGCAGGGGAATCTCTCTAGTTTACATAAAGTAACCTAATCACAGGAGTGAAATCCCATGTACTCACAGATCCCACCACACTGCAAGGCAGGGAGTTACACAGGGCACGTGCACGAGGGCTAGGAATCTGGAGGCCATCTCAGCCTGCCCAGGATCCTACTCGTTCTTTAGAAATTATTTATCTTCCTTTCATGAGCTCTCCATAAGCTTTTCCAACAGTATGAACTGCTCTCTCACCTTCCTCATACAGCGGTTTATGTCTTCTGTCTTACTCCGCCTCGTGTAAGTGAGATAAGCATTCCGTGTGCACGGCCTTGCCGCAGTCTGAACACTTTCCCTTTGGAGTGAGTGGTGGTAGACATGCACTTTACCTTGGCAAGCTCACTCTGTGCTGTTGTGGTAGCTCTTCTGAGTAAGAGTTGTATTTTAATGTCATTTTTAATTTAATGTATTTTAATGACAGTTCTCGAAGGCCTGACATGCATTATCTGAATGTTAACGGTTCACCATGGCATGTTTTGAACACATTTGCCTACTTAGTAAGCCACTTAAGGACTTTTTAACCCCAACGTGGTAGGCTCAATGTTTGAATCAGGACAAACAAGGATCACAGAAAAATCTTATCTCAGAGGCAGGAGCTAGGGCTTAGAAGAGCCTGGTATGTAATCAGAAAGGAAAGACAGTATTAGAGACAGAGTGACTCCAGAGTGGCACAGTGAGGGAAGTAAGGGCTGTGGGCAGGAGGAAAACTCTCAGATTCGAGGAGGCAGCCTCTAGATGTCTCCACGGCCCATCCCCAGTGCCCTGCCACTGGTAGGCACTCCCCCAATGTTGTCCGTGAGTTACCAGGAAGTGGTATGTACCTGTGAAGTCTTTATGGTTTGAAATCAGTTGTTTGGTTTTGTTTCTTAATTGTAGCTGGTGCCCAAGATAGGATCGGCTGGGCCTTCGGCCTGGGACTGGAAAGACTGGCCATGATTCTCTACGACATCCCGGATATCCGTCTCTTCTGGAGCGAGGACGAGCGCTTCCTGAAGCAGTTCCGCTTGTCCGATGTCAACCAGAAGGTGACATTTCAGGTATGATGACTTGTAAGAATCAAGCCAATCATAATGAAATTGGTTTTCAAGAACTGAGAGGGTAATGTACTTGAAAAGAAATCTATCGAATTTAAAAATAACATGCATGTGAAAAGAGAGTTCTATACATGCACAGGAGTTCATAAACCTTCAGAAATTGTATGTGAAAAAAAGACATCAGAGAAACCTCTTGTGGCGAGCATCCTGGAGAGAAATTAATAAGCCTCGGTAAGCGGCTCTGGTGGCCGTCTTTGTTCGTGCCTTAGGGATGGGCGGAGAGTTTCCCCTGTGGGAGGAAGGATGAAGCATGGGGTTGGGCAGGGTTTTTAGAAACGGGGCTCCGCGCGTATTCCGCCATGTGGACTTCTGCAATTCCGGGATGGGCCCCTGGATTGTGTTTGTGGTCTCCTTTAACCTTGTCCGCAGAGAGTCCGGGGGCCATTGCCCCCAAGTTCCAGCGTTTCTCGCCGCCTACTGCTCCTGCGCCATATACTGGGCTTTCAGCCTTTGGGCTCTCCGCGGCCTCTGTTTCTAAAACATTCATCTGATCACATTTGTGGCATCTTCTTTAATGATTTCTTTAAACTTGAAAACCTGGAGCTCCTTTTGCAAATTGAATTCTATACAGGATCTCAGCTAAAAAGGATGAAATAACTACTGTAAAAGTTAGACTCGATGAATTCGGACTTGAAATGGGATTAGATGAAGGTGCAATGTTTATCACTTTATTTCAGTATTTTGCTTTAGTGTACAGGATTGAGAGTATCTTGGTTTGCATAGACTAGTGTTTGCAGATGGTTAACTTTTTCAGCTTTCTCAGGATGCAATCTCGTTATACTTTTCAATTAA